ACGGACCCCCCCCAAAAAAAAAAATCTTGATTTCAGACTTCTAATTTCCAGAACTGTGAAAGAATGCATTTCTGTTAATTTCTACTACCTAATTTGTGAGAATTTGTTGTGCAATCCTAGGGAACTAATACACTGATGACAGGATCAATCACCTAGGACACATAATGATCCTAAAGATGTATACAGCAAATGATAGAGCCCCAAATTTGTGAAGCAAAAACTCATGGAGTCTTCCATATCTATGGTTTTCTTATTTCAAGAATGGCCTCAGTATTCTTATGAATAGCATGCAAACTTCTGTGCTCACCAGTTTATCATCCACATCCCCTGGGTCCTCTTGGGCCGGGCCTGACCACATCCTGATGTGGCAGGGAATGAAGCTGCTCACCAACCCCACACCCCCTCCTCCTTCAGTCGCACAACTCTAACTTTGCTGGAAAATAAGCAACATAATTTCCCTTTGAAAACCCAGTCTGCAGAAACACTCCAAATAGTAATTTATATGGTTATCTGGAAATACAGGGTATTCTAAGTGACTAATCACAAAATTTTCAGGGATAAATAAACTCTTGACTACTAGAAGTTCTCTCTCTCTCTCTCTCTCTCTCTGTACCTGCAATGGAACCCGGGGAGCTTAACCACTGAACCACATCCCCATCCCTTTTTATTTTACTTTTTTTTATTTTGAGACAGGATCTCACTAAGTTGCTGAGGCTGGATTTGAACTTGAAATCCTCCTGCCTAGGCCTCCTGAGTAGATAAGATTGGAGGCATGTGCCATCATGCCCAGCCCAATAGGCTTATTCTAAAACACATTTTTCAAGCACATTGTCTGAAAGTGATAACAACAACAAAAAAAAGAGTAGGTATACGTTTTAAATATGAATCTTTAACTTTTGAGGTCCCTTCCTAAAAGAAGCATTGTAAGCATTGAAGTTTCAGGAGGTATCCATAGAGAATAAAATTGTGGCTAATATATAATTGTGCAAATGTCCATTTGCTGAATAAGGAATGAAACTGTGAATTAGCTATCTTAATTATTTTCATGCCAGATGTGCTTTAATCAGGTAATTAATTTGTGTTAACTTTTTTTTTTAAATTTCAGACTTTATTTCCAGAACTGTGAAAATTAGAAAAAAAAATTCTTTTTTTATTTACTAAATGCAATAGTTGCTGACAGGTTTTGAGTAGACTGGTATTGGTCAAAATGTGAAATAAAATTAGTAGTATTAATGCTTATGATCAACAAAGATTCTGAAAATCTGCTGTTCAGAGTTTACTAGATGCCACTCAGTATTCAGGACACATGTGCCATATCTCATAACATCCTACAACCACCCGAGGTAGTGGGCCATCTTGCCTTCCCATTCTGTATGAAAACAGCTAGATTTAAAGTATTTTGAGTGAATGACAGAGCTCAAATTGAGCCCTGTCTGCTAGAAAAGCATAAATACACAAAATGCAAAGAAAAATGGATAAGGGCTCCACACACAGTCCTAAGGCCATTTTCAGGACATTTTAAAGGATACAGAGACAAAGGCCAAGTAGGACTGGGGTCCAGGGAGAGATATAAAGGAGGAGACATCCCAACTAAAGCCATCTGTGAGCAAGACCCTGGGGATGAGTACTTGTCTGAAGTCCAGGCAGACCTGCCAGACATGGGAGTGTCATTCATGCAGATCTGGCTCTGTGGTTCTGAAGACCTGGTCTCTCTCCTACAACTGTCCTCTTCAGGACAAAGGTCAATACCAAAATAATGGTACTTGGCTTGCCTCTTGCACTGATGCTCCTGGGCCATGGCACAGTTTCTTCTAGCACTGTTAAGGCAGAGCACTACAAATCCAGAATATGGGGCAAAGCTACTAGAAATCATCTTCCTCCCTTACTTAACTCCATAACTGTAGGCCAGCTACTTATCTCTGATCAGGCCTTAGTCTACTCATCAGTTAAAAGAAGGTTATAGTATTTAGTTCATAAGATCCTGTTAAGATTAAGTGCAATAATAAATGCTTCCACAGGGTTGTTCACATAAGTAAGGGAGGAAGAGTTATTATCTTCTGCTTGTATTATTTAACAAGTATCAAAGTTTGGTGACCCAAGGGCCAAATACTATTCATAGTCTTGTTTCATTTGAATTTACATGCATTTTGCTATTAATTGTTCTCCTTGTGCATTTGGGTTCTCTTGAGTTTCCACAATAAGACTAAGAGTCAGAGGGGAGCATCAGTAATGGCTATGCTAAAATATTTTCACCTGCAAGACCCTGATTAATATGCTAATTGTTCAAATTAGAATAAAAATCCATTTGGCCGCGAGATCCAGCCTATACTTTTAAATGAGTATAGTAATGGCCTTCAAAATGATTGTTGAGTTGGCTGGAAGGAGGAAAATGTGTGGTTCATATTATTTAAATAAGCACTGAAATGTCAGGTGTTTGAGTGAGAGTGATACCTGTGTGCTCATCTGCAGAACTGAATATTATGTGGCATCCAATATTTTGGACCAGCTCCCTATGTTACTCCAAAAAGGTGCCTAATTGAGGGTGTGGTCATCCAGCATCTCCTGGCACCCCATCTCCACCAACAAAGTCATGACACTGAGGTGGAAAGAGGGAACAGGGTGAAGCTTTGATCTCCAGTGCTAATCTTATCTTTGCTATGCCCTGTTTCTGATTGTAAGCAAAAGCATAAAAGCATCCCGAATGTCACCTGTTTATTATCAACTAGCCAGATTCTTCTTTCCTATTACTTAAAAAAAAATCACACATCTAATAGTATGTGGTTGCCATGTATTATTTGTTTGTTTCTTTATTTGCTTGTTTGCTTTCAATTAAATGTCCTGGGGCAAAAAAGAAAGAAAAAGTTTAAAAAAAAAAAAACCCAACTTTACTTTTACTCTAAGTAGCACAGATTTTACTAAAAAGACACATATTTTCCAAATCAAATTAATTTATTTGTTCTAATTTACACTGTTTTGCAAGTGAAAATAAAATTTAAACCTTAAAATAGAATAATTTCAAATTTTATTCTGTTAGCCACCCTCAGGTGGCTTGGTATATTTACCTGTTTCTATTCTTCTTCTATGTATTATTTTACATGTTTAATTATTCATGTGGCACATTGCTCAAGGTGATGAGATATTAATATTGGAAAAAAGGATTAAAATGTATTTTTCTGAACTGCAATTCAGGCTTTGAAAACTAACTATTAGCTAGATATTATCAATATTAGCTAGAATTAGATTGGATTAGAATTGGATTTGGGTTGTTACCTTTTGGTTATTGAAAATAATTTTGGGTACAAACATTCAGATACATATTTTGTGTGAATTTAAGTGTTCATTTCTCTGAGATACATGCTCAAGAGGACAACTGTTGTGTTGTACAGCAGTTGTGTTCATTTTTTAACAGGGCCTAAATTTTCTCCAAAGTAGGTTTATCATTTTTCACATCCCACCCACCAACAATGAGTATGATGGGTCCACTTCATCCATACCATTGACAGCATTTGATATTGTCACTTTTTTTTTTAATTCTAGCCTTTCCAACAAGTTTGTAGTGATATATGATTTTCATAATAACTAGTGGTATTAAAATCTTGTTGTGTACTTACTTCCCATCTACATATTCTTTTCATTGAAATTATCTGCTCATGTCTTTTATTTCACTTTATTTATTTTTTGTTGTTCTTGGGATTGAGCCCAGTGTCCTGAGCATGCTAGGCAAGGGCTCCTCCACTGAGTTACATCCCCAGTCCTGCCCATGTCTTTTATCAACTGCCAAACTGGATTAACTTTTTTTTTAACTGCTGAGTTTTGAGAGTTATTTGTATATTCTAAGTACTAATCCTTTGTTAAATATATAATTTGCAAATATTTCCTCCAAGTCAGTAGCCTGCCTTCTCATGCTTTTCAGAGTTCTTTCACAGGGCGGGGGGTGGGGGGGATGTCTTAATTTGGAAAGTCTAACTTATCAATTCCATATTAATTTCTCCATAGTGATATTTTTAGGGCATTTTGTATATTTTTATTAATAGTGGCTGCAAATAATAATATGCATCATGTTGCCAGAGTCTGCTGGTTCTAGTCAAGTGTGGAAACCATACTTCCATTTAAGTTTTTTTTTTCCATTTTCTCAATTAATTTCCCTTAGGTATTTCTTCAACATGTAGTGAGCACCGCACCATGTAGTTTTTTTTTTTTTTTAATAAAACTTGCTTCCATCATCACACCAAAGTGGTTCAGATAAGTTACAAGAAGAAGAATCTCCCATACCCAATCTCCCAAATGGGTAAAAATAGGAGCATGGTAAGAATGCTCCCATTTTTACCCATTTTAATGTTCCTTTCTTCCCAAAGACCTGAGCATTACTTAATATGTTAGTATTCCATTACAGTCATAAAATAACTGAAATAATCAACATAAAAGCAAAAGCAAAAGGCGTGTTTGGGCTCACAGTTTTGGAAAATCTCAGTCTATGATCGATTGACCACATTGCTTTTGGACATGTGGCAAGGCGGCACATCATGGGAGGGAGCCGAAGGTAGAGCAAAGTTTCTCACTTTGTAACATTTAGGAAGGGAAAGAGAGGAAAAGGAAGGGGTCAGGGTTTCAATATTGCCTTGCAGGTCCTCCAAACCTGGGGACAGAATCTGAGAGCAGGCTCCTTACCTCTTGACTGGAAGAAATCCCTCCAAGGGCCCTCCTCTTAGGTTTTTACTACCTTCCACTAGTTTCAAGCTGGGGATTGAGCCTTTCACAACACGGGTCTTTGGGGGATATTTAGGATTCAAACTACAGTTCTTAATACCATTTTCTTTCTGCTTACAGAACCTCCTACACCTATTCTTTTCCTTCAGCTCTAACAGAAGGTTATGCCTCCTCTTTCTGGCACCCATGTCTTCAGATAAGAAGTCGGCCGTCATTTACATTGGCATTCCTATATATGCAATGCAAATGAGTCATCTTCCTCTGACTGCTTTCAAAAAGTTTGTTCTTTGCTCTTGGTTTTCAGACATTTAATTATGATGTGTACTGGCATGGATTCCATGGGTTTTTCCCATTTGGGTTTTGCTTAACTTTTGGAAAATGGAGGCTTATGTCTTTTATCTTCCGAACTTGGAGAGATTTGCTCGTATTCTTTCTTTGAATATCCTCTTGAACCCACTCATTTTCTTATGTCTTTCTACAACTCTGATACTGTGAAAGTTGAAACTTTTTCTATTTTCTCTATAGTTCCTGAGACCCTCTCTCTATTTTTTTCCCTATCTTTTTCTATCATTTGTTTATATAAGGTATATTCGATAGGTCGTCATTAGGTCCACTGATCCTAACTTCTGTAGTCTCCACTTTGCTGCTGGACCCATCCAGTGTGTTCAATCCTGGGTCAAGCATTTCCTGTTGGCTGGGCCTGTTAAGACCTTGCTCTGTGCAGCTCCTCTTCTGGGTCCTGGGTGTAAGGCCGGGTTCTTTCCTCTTTGCACTTTAGAGTTCTTCTGTGGGTGCCTCTGTGTTATTTCCAAAGCTTATAGTTGCACCTGTGGAGATGAGCAGAGATGAATCAATGCCCTCTGGTCTGGACTGAGCATCGTATGTAAAATTTCAAGGTGAACATGGCCACACTGGTGATGTCAAAATTGCTGCTAAGAAAGAGAAATAGGGCAGGGATCCTCTGGACATAAAGATAAAACTTTGGGAATTATTAGCATAGAGGCAGTGTTGAAGTCATGATTGCATGAAATATCCCTTATTTGCTAATGAAAAGATGGGGCACAGTGAGACCCCAAATGAAACATGGCAAAACAGTGAACAGCTAATGACAGAATAATTAATGGGCACGGACATTATGTTAAAGTACATATGTTAGACATGGTAAGTATGTCATAGTTCATACAATCAGAAAAAAAAAAGAAAATACAAAGAACATGCAGAACACAGGCACAGTGGGCATGTTTCCTACATATGTCATCCTTATTAAACATGTACTAAAGGGGATAGAAGCTACTTCCTTTACCTGGTGGAGATCTCTGATTAAACCTGCACTCTGAGCCACAAGAGAACAGAAACGAATCAGGTCTACCAGATGGAATAAAGTCCAAGTGAAGTCCATCCTGTGTTTCTCTTCTCCTAGGAATTTAGTCATTTCTTCTTTATTCAGTGTAGGAGGATTTTATCCAGAAAACAACAGTTACAAAGTAAGTAATAAAAAGTAAGCACATTTCCAAATACATTCGTCCCTCATCTCCTGCCTATTGGCTTATCCTGGCTGTGTGCCCTCAAACTGACTAAGAGATGTGGCCACCATGTCAGCTGACGTTTGCAAATACTACCTTCTCATTTGCCCCTGAGAAACTAGACGTTTATGAGCTAAGATTGTGGTCTGGTCCCTAGCAGAGAGCCTGCTTCATCAGAGAATCCAATCCTTAGGATCCTCTTATCTGACAAGTCTGCATTCCAGTGCTCCCAGCCCAAGTCAGTGGAAGGAAATCTGATAAAAAGAGCATGCACACTGAAGCTCACACACCCACCTCACAGAGCTCCCTCTCTGTACCCCATGCTCTGGAAACTCTATGGAAATTTTCAGACATTTTCTATATTATCACTCATAAGAGCCAGAAGCATCCATTGTAGAGATTTGCATACAATGAGGAACAAAGTGTCACTTCTGCACATATCCAATCCCTGTCCTCTGATTCTCATGTCATTACCTAATAAACAAGAGCGAGACAAGAGATCATCATTATTGTAGAACTCCACTAAAAGCAGTGTTAAAAATATGCTTGACCTTTTACATTTCTTAAGGATTTTGCTTTAATTTTTCTAACAATCTTATTTTCCTCTTTCCTTTTAACTTCTTTTCAGATTTTTTACTGGGGGAACAGATGTGCAGAGATCACCTTGCCCTACTCTTCCCTCCCCTTGCTTCAGAAGGGTGCTCTTGGATGGGGGGAGGGGGGGAGCCAAGGAAGGAAACTGAAGAGGGAAACCGCCTCTGGGTTGTCCTGGAGTCAGTGCGTTTCTGCGGTGGTTTGCACGAAGATACACTTCCCAGCCGACCTGTACAAGGGCTCCGTTTTCAAGCGCTCACTTCACGCAAGGAAATCATTAAAGGAAGACCTGCCGGAGCATTTGTTTTGGAAACAGAATGACACAGCTCACCACTCCAGGCGAGCGCCCCCTCAGACACTGAGCTCTTTATTTACCTGTGGCTCTGACTAACCAGAGGCGAGGTGCTGCCCACTTGACGGTAAGATGACTCGCGGGCGTCCTGCCTGGACTTGAAGCCTCAGACCTGTTTTCCCTTCTCCGCATACTTGTGCGCCCCCCGCCCGCCCCACCCGCACGCTAGGCCGCGGGTGGATGTGCAGCGAAGCTGGATTGCTCATTGGAGGAGCAGGAGGAAACAAAGCCTTCTCAGAGAGGACCGACGCCCGGGGCCAGCCTCATTACAAGTCCCTGCACTGCCTGACGTTCCTCAGCTGACATGCCCGAACCCTGCAGAGACCTTGCAGTGAACCGCTGCTGCGCCCAGCGCCATCACATGGCTGCGGAGCAGCTGCCGCGCGCAGGCCGAGTCCCATGCGCCCCTCGCGCCGCTGCGGAACAAAGGGCCCCTGTGGATGCCACGCCAGAGGCGGGGAGAGCCCCGGGCCACAGGAGGGGCGGACCCAGGATGCCGGACAACTTTCACTCAGATGTCTGTCTTTGCTCAGGCTCGGATCCGATTAGCTCTGGTAGAACCCTTGGACACGTGTTTGGAACACGCGTTTAAATTCTTCCAAACGAACCCTCCTTAGTGCTTATTCCACATTAAAAGACACTTTAGCCATTTGCACTTGCTCTCTCTCTCTCTCTCTCTCTACTTCATACACATTTTTATACACAGCAGATAAGGACTTTGGAACTGAGAGTTAAAGCAAAATTCTCTGTTGAAATATAGGGCCAACTAACAACCTAAGCTAAATGTTTATTCCTTTTTAATTTTTTTCTTTTTTTTAACATCATGAGAACTAATTGGTCTGGTCCCTAGCAGAGAAACAGGGGATAGAAATAGAGTGGTTGGTTAACCAAACTCTTTCTTCATTTATTAATTGAAGTCTAAATAGTGTCTCCCCAAATATTTTGGCTTTAACAGGAGCTGCATACATTCCTTTAGAAACCTACTTATTTAATTTTTAGGTCTTCACAGAATTCCTGTAAGTTGTGCAGGCCAAGAAAAAAGGTACTATATCATTTATGAATGGAGGAAACTAAGTTTCAAAGAGGTTGAACATATTTGCCCTAAATGCCTAGTAAAGCTAAGAGTGAAAAATCTTTCACTCTGGCGCACCCCGGAATCTGAATACAACACGGGGGTGGTTGACGATGTCCTACCCCAGTTGCGTGGAGACAGTGAACGTTGCCATTTAAGAGCTCTGCTGAAACTGGGAACATGTGACCAAGGCCTGTAGCCCCAGGTACCCATGAGGCTAAGGCAGGAGGATCCCCAAGTGTGATACCAGCTTGGCAAGATCCTGTCTCAAAATAAAAAAATAGAAAAAAAGGACCCAGGATGAAGCTCAATGATAGAGTACTTTTGGATTCAATCCCCAGCGTTCCCCAACCCCTGGGAAAAGAGCTCTGTTGTAGTGTTTGACTTAGAAATGAGGTGTATCATCCAAACTTCCCTAGAGCCCTCCAGCTTTCTTTCTCCCAGATACCCACATCACCCTGTCATCATGGGCCATACATTGTTTTCCATGCAGGGTCACCTCTGGGGTAAGGGGTCTCCCTTTTGACTGTAGAGACGCCCCCATAAGTTGACCTATCATCCCTGGTTACTGCCACCCACAGAGTCCTCATTATGGGTGCCACCTTCCCACTTGGCTCCAGCAGGGATCCCATCCTAGGATTGATTGTCTCATAAAATTCCACCTAACCCCACCCATACCAGCAGGAGGTGTCAGGACTCAGAAGACTGAGGTCACGGGAATGTGAGAGCCCTGTACTGCCACAGGAAATAGTCTTTCTATGTTGTGGATTAAGCAGGATTTTATAGGCTAACCTGGAAGTACAACTGCAGTCAATAATATCATTTCTATGAGAAGATGAATCCTCATTCCAAAAAAGACAGCTTAGAAATTACCTTTGGGATCTGGATGTGAATCTCTGTGATAGAAACTGAATAAACAACTATGTTGTCTCAGCAGAGTTGACTGCTTATTACATGTTGGAAAGAAGGCCCTGCCCTAAAGAAAACACATGGCATGGGTATATTTCACACGCTAATTCTTGTTTACTTTGGCCTTTTCCTCATGAAACCAGAACTCTGTGACTCTGTTTCTCCCTGGCTTCTTGGACTGAAATATCAACTGCTTGGTGTTGATTTGAAAACTTATGAGAAGCCAACTTGCATGTTACACAGGTTGGGCATGTGGGTATATTTATTGGTCAAAGACAGATAAGATAGGCTTAAATATGTCTGGAAATACAAAGTCCCCTTACTGGTAACTTAAAAAAAAAATAGACTTGAATATCCTTGTGAAGATTTTGCCCTGAAAATCCTACAAAGTCTCTTCTGTTAAGTAATCACACATGTGACATAATCCAGAGATCTGTTAAACTTCATGAGGATTCTCACTAACTACAGAAAATAAAAATGGCTGCAGAGCCACTGATGTGAGACTCAGTGGGCAAATGACAGTCTGGCATGCACATTCTTCTGCTGACCTAAAAACCACCTTTGGGACCTGGGAGGGAAGCATTTTAAGGATGTATTCTATCTGAACAAATTTTTTTCAGAGTTTCCTATAGCTGGATGATTTTTTTTTACAGGAAATAAATCTAGTCCGAAGCCTAAGAAAATTAACTGTGATGTTACTGAAGAAAAATATACCTCCCAAAAGTATTTTTATTCTTCCACTCTTGTCAAATGTAAAGGGAATGCAAGCTTAGTTTTAGAAATTTACTGAGAGGCTCGAGTTTTCCCCCACTGCAATAAGGCCACCATGTCAGGCTGACACTAACATCATTAGCACTGCTATACAGCTCTGTACCAACAACTTTAATCTGCCACTTATTAAAAACTCCAATGGCATCTACACCAGTATGCCTCCACCTCCCACCCAGGTGGGCTCTTGCAGACTTGAACTAAAGGGATTTCTGCAAGGAGGAATCTGTTGGTGTCTTCAATCATCTGTGGGTTTCTTTTCAACATAAAGTTTGATCTTAGTGTTACTATTTAGAAAATAATTTTCAGCAACATATGGACACAGCTGTTTGTGTTTGATATAGTTTTGAACTTGAAGTGAATTACACTTTCCTCTAAAAGGGGGCAACTCTCTGCTCCTCTGTTAACGCAGAAGTCAAATAATTACAAATTGATAATAAACATGTCTAGAACTTTCTTCTCCAAGTTAAAAAACAAGAGATACTGTCCCTGACCTCTGCTCTTATTTAGTCTTCATTATTTTAGGAGAGAACTTTCATCTGTTCCCAAGTATGAACTTAATGTGTAAATACATTTTAGGTTTTGACACTCTTCATTTAGTTTGATAAACAAGAAAAGGAAAAATGAATTAAAATGTTCACCAAATTTGAATAGTTTTTTCACCATGAAATGAACATACATAACATATATAAATACATATATAACATGTATTTATATACATTTATATATGTTATATATGTTACATATAACATATGTTATATACATATAACTCACATATATACATATTCTTTAAATATATAGAAATGCCATTCAATAGAACACTTTGGGAATTATGAAAAAACTCTTACAATCTCTACTATCCATTATGTTAGCCATTAGCCATCTGAGGTTATTGAACACATGAAGTGTGACTAGGCCATCTGAGGAACAAATGTTTTCACTTTATGGCTTTTTAACTTATTTAAAGTTAAATGGCTACCATATTGGAGAGATCTTCTATGAAGGATAATGGAGAAACAAAAGTTAAAATGTGATTGGTCTAAACGTCACAAAACTATATACAGAAGAAACAGAAAACAGGAGGTGTAGACAGAGTGCAAACAGAGTAAAATCAAATTAACAAACACTTCTTGAATGCTTGCTCTGAATCAACAGACTCTGTCCTGAAGTGTAACCAAGAGATGGCATTGTTTTGGTGAATAGCTTAATTAAGAAGTCAAAGGGATGGAAAGATCATAAGATACATTAGCTTCTCATCGTGATGAAAAAAATACCTAAGATAATCACCTTACACAGAGGAAAGGTCTATTTTGGCTCACAGTTGCAGAAGTTTCAGTCCATAGTCAGTTGGCCTCATTACCCTTAAGCTTATGATAACACAGAAGAGATCTGTTCATTTCATTGTGGCCAGGAAGGAGAGAGAGGGAGAGAGATAGAGAGAGAGAGAGAGAGGTGTGCAGAGTCCATAACCCCCTTCAAAGACATGACCTCAGTGAACTAACTTCTTTCCACTAGACTCCACCTCCTAAAGGTTCCACTACCTCCGGGCTGCTCCACAGGCTGGCAACCAAGCCTTAAAAACATAAGACTTTGGGAGTATTTGAAATCTAACACAAGGAAATGCCTTGTAATTTACCAAATGAAATAAGTGGGCAGAAAAGACATCAGGATCACTTTGGGGTAAAAAAAAGAAAAAAAAGAAAAAAGAAAAATCATAAAAGGTAAGGAGAAGATGAGCAGGGAAGACGTGAAGGGAGGGGACTCCAGGTCAGCAGAACAAAGCCATGTGTGCACACATGTGGAGAAGAAGGGCCCAGGGAAGGCTCCTGAAGAGAAAGTTGGGCTGGGAGTACAGGGCCTGCAGAGCCAAACTGGGCAACTGGATGTTTCCCCTATAGTCATTTGAAAAGCACTAAGGTCTAACTCTGGATGGATGTGTACCCGCCATCACAGCTGCCACTAGCTTTATAAAAAGTGACAAGATGTTTCTTTTTTTTATTTTTTTTTTTAAGAGAAAGTGAGAGAGGGGGACAGAGAGAGAGAGAATTTTAACATTTATTTATTTTTTCTTAGTTCTCGGTGCACACAACATCTTTGTTGGTATGTGGTGCTGCTCAGGATCGAACCCGGGCAGCACGCATGCTAGGCGAGCGCGCTACCGCTTGAGCCACATCCCAGCCCCAGACAAGATGTTTCTTGTGACAGGTTGTCTGAGGAGCTGGTTTCTATTATCTCTTATTTTGCAAATTTAAAAAAAAAATTGCATAATGTCCTCAGATAAAAGAAATCATTGTCTTTCAGGGTGTGTCCAGTCTTCCTTCTCTTACAGATGCACCTCTACCACTTTCTCCATCTACATAAATGATGTCCTATTTTAAAACTGTTTGGGATGATACAATAATTATAATTTTGTTGTTAGATTGGACGATGTGGAAAGAAGCTTTTCACATATAAAATTGCTGTGAATGAGAGAGAGAGGGACAGTTATCATATAACAAGCACCTTCCCACCTAGATGCTGTGTCCCATAGGGCGCATGTGACTGCAACCTCAAAAATGAGGAAAATACTTTCCCCTGTTTTTTAAAAAAAAATGAACAGCATGTCCAAGGACACAGAGCTCATTAGCAGTAAAGCTGGAACTGAAACTCAAATTAATTGGGTAGATTCCACTGCTATGTAAAC